ACTTCGGGGCGCTCAATCCGTCACAAAGCTACCCAGTAGCAAGAAGGGAGTTTAAATCTCACAGTATTCAACATGGGCCGGATTTCTGTTTTACTGCTGACAACTCTGTTGAAAGCACATGTTTCTGACGGGCGCAGCTATTTTCACGGCCGCACGTGACAGAACGTGCTCCAAAGCAAAAGGCAACATATACCGCCCTTCCCGTGAAGGCCAAATCTGATTGGCCTCGACAAACATGTGTAAAGCCGGTTTGCTTCTCACATGACCACCCCCTGTCTAGGACTCCAAGGCCAAGTGAATCACTGACACTTTTAGCCAAGGTGCATGTCACCATGACCTCAGTGGCATCAGTGAAAACAGGTCAATCTCCTAGCTCAAATCAAAGGATGGAAGTAGCACCCAAGCCTGGTGCAGCCACACCAGCAAACTCTTTATCTTTTTCTTGCTGCCCACTTAGCCGGCGCTGCTAGGTGTGGAGCTCTGTGGAAAAGCCCGGTTGTCCCGGACATTTAGCCATTTGGCTCAAGCTCAGGCGACGGCCAGTTGAATAAAACTTCTGGATCTCAGCAGGGTCCTCAGCCGGTGTCCGCAGTCACGCTCAAGTGGGCTGGATGTGGGAAAAAACATCTTGCCAACGCTGTCCTTGCATCATCACGCCATCAAGCGTTGATCTGAGTGGCTATCTCTCCCTTTCTCTCTTCTTGGCTGCCGGCGAGACCCTTGTGCACAAAGTTTGCCTTCTGCGGCTTCAATTTGGATAACCATTGATTTCAACCAACAAGTTAAAGTCTAAAGACCCGTTACCCAATGGCAATATCAAGTCTGGTAGGCGCCGTCTCTATCCCCGAGGCCCCAGGCGGTCATGTTGAAGATCGGGCCGGTGCCTGCCATGCTCAGAGAACGCGCGCTGAGAACGCGTGGGTGTCTTTGTTCTAAGGGTTGATTCTCAGTCTCTGCCCCCATTCTCCGCAGCAACCACCAGTTTTTCAGGGCTTTGGCAGAGGTTTGGAGAGAATGGGGAGGGTACAGCTACATTCGTGTGCGTGCTTGCAAACCGCGCGAGCAAAGCGTTGTCAAGGCAAAGCATTGGCAAAGGCTAAGACAACCAAAAGGCGATGGAAGGGGAAAAGGCTTGGATTTCCAAGCACGCTTGATCAACAAAGGCACACCATGTGAACCAAATACAGCGGACAAGTCCACCATGACATATCCACCATGCAAATAAAAACGGGGCGGTGGGAAATGACCACTTCTGTGATACAACACAAAGGGCTTGCCAAAGACTAACCCCCCCCCCCACATTTTTATATATAAAGGGGGTGATTCCCTTGTGTCACAGAAAGTGGTTGGATAAACCAAGACTGATCCCACAACCCTGAATAAAATGAAAGCACCCTTAGCAACGCTGACTCGCTGAACGGCCAATCGCCGGCTAATCGCGACCTGCTTCCTCCAGGGAGCTGTACGCTGACTTGGTCTTTGCCTGCGACGCCACGGATTTCCAGACAAAACAACAGAAGCAACAACAAACCACATCGCAAATGAAAGAACAAACAAGCGAACGCGGCACAATGAAACACACGCAAACACAAACAAGCGTGCGTACAAAAAAAAACAAACAAACAAACAAACAAACAACCAAACCAAACCAAACCAAACCAAACCAAACCAAACCAAACCAAACCAAACCAAACCAAACCATCCAACCAACCAACCAAACACACAAACACACAAACACACAAACACACAAACACACAAGCAAGCAAGCAAGCAAGCAAGCAAGCAAGCAAGCAAGCAAGCAAGCAAGCAAGCAAGCAAGCAAGCAAGCAAGCAAGCAAGCAAGCAAGCAAGCAAGCAAGCAAGCAAGCAAGCAAGCAAGCAAGCAAGCAAGCAAGCAAGCAAGCAAGCAAGCAAGCAAGCAAGCAAGCAAGCAAGCAAGCAAGCAAGCAAGCAAGCAAGCAAGCAAGCAAGCAAGCAAGCAAGCAAGCAAGCAAGCAAGCAAGCAAGCAAGCAAGCAAGCAAGCAAGCAAGCAAGCAAGCAAGCAAGCAAGCAAGCAAGCAAGCAAGCAAGCAAGCAAGCAAGCAAGCAAGCAAGCAAGCAAGCAAGCAAGCAAGCAAGCAAGCAAGCAAGCAAGCAAGCAAGCAAGCAAGCAAGCAAGCAAGCAAGCAAGCAAGCAAGCAAGCAAGCAAGCAAGCAAGCAAGCAAGCAAGCAAGCAAAGCAAGCAAGCAAGCAAGCAAGCAAGCAAGCAAGCAAGCAAGCAAGCAAGCAAGCAAGCAAGCAAACAAGCACACAACCAACCAACCAAACAAGCAAGCAACCAACCAAAGCAAAGCAAAGCAACGCAAACAAAGCAAACAAAGCAAAGAAAGCAAACAAAGCAAACAAAGCAAAGCAAAGCAAGCAAAGCATAGCAAGCAAGCAAACAACCAGATCGACAAACAAACACACAAACAACGCATACACCAATACCAAACCAACACAACACAAGCAAACAACACAAACCAGGACAACTACACAAACAACACACACACACACAAATCAACCACAAACAGACACTACACAAACCAAAACAGCGCGACAGTAAAACCAGCCAACCAAATAATTCACAAACCAACCAGGTAGCCAGGCAGCCAGCCATCCATCCAGCAAGCACATTAATCCAAAGAGACACAGACACCGCACGACTTGTTGGCATGCCATGCTTCCATTTGACCATCATGGCCCGCAAGTGGCCTAGGTCCTCCAGTAGAGAGGTTAGAATAAGGGTGCCCTTTTTTCTGCAGTCTATTTTGGGGAACCCTCTCCCAAAAAAGGGTAAAAGGGCACTACTGGGGGACCTAGTGGCAAGAAATCCGCCTGGCCTTCTTGCCGACCTGAGCCGCGGGGTCGAACCGAACGACTGTGCCAAACACTTGTCCGAACCGAATCTGTCACAGACCAGGTCAAACGCTCCTGGCAAAAACAGACGTTTTTTCATACTAAAATCACTGACAGTTAAATTATCAAATCAAAGTCAATGGACATCTACAAAGCCCTCGCCAGAGTGGAATGCAGCCAAGGTTCAAAGTGCAAAGCTCCCTTCCTGCGGGGAACTGAGCCATGCGCATCCTACCTGCTACCAGCAGAATGGTGTTGTTCCGAGTCTGCAGCACCCCTTGGGAACTCTTCCACCGCCAAACTGTCAACAGTGCTACTGGGAGAGGTTGTCTTTTTGCCAACACGCTTTTGCGGCCTATGCCGTGATTTGCAAACTGACAATTCAGAAAGCCCGGATAAAGGGACCCTTACCATGAAGCTCGTCATAATTTGTGCAAACGCTTGCCGGGAGTTGCTTGCGTGCCTGGAAGAGAAGGGGCTGTAGAGCATAACCACCTCACCTGAAGTGGTGCCGACCTGCGCCGGCGTGCGCGCTGCCCGGCTGCTAGCCGGCAATTCCGCACAGAACCGCTGGACGCAAGGGTTTGCGTTGTTGGAGTCTGTCGAAGCATTTTTCCAATGGAGCTTTCCCATGGAAAGCTAGGTGGATGCCCGTTTCTTCTCCAAACGGCCTGCGCACAGCCCTGATACTTAACAATGAGCCCCCAACACTTCGTCGCGGGAAACCACTTCTGGAGGTCCTATGCCACGGAGCAGAAAGATCTCCGTTGCAGCCAGGGCCAAGTTCCGCAAGTTCAATGCAACGTGTGCCAGTGCGCTTCATCACACGCCCTGTGCGCAGGACCTGAAGGAGCCCCCCTCCCCGCCCGGACGCATGTGAACCAGCAACCGTTGAAATGAAAAAACGCCTGAGCACACGGAAAAGCACACCTCCGGGAAACATGCAACAGTGGAACCAGTCCAGACCAGGAACCTTGAAATGGCAAGTCACGGCAAGTCTAACCAAACAGCAGATGCGTCAGCCGCATGTGGCTTGCCACAGTACAACCTGGACAGAGCGGGAAAGCCCCCAACCGTTTTCCTGAAATCTGCAAAATGCACCCGTGGAGCCCCCAACCGGAACCACCTTCATGGTCACGTTCCACTGGGCAAACAGGAATTTTTCGGCCGCCTTTTGTGCCCACTTCGGCCCACTTCGGCCCTTCAGCAAACAAACACACCTCAAGCAAAGCCGCTTCGAGGCCGCCTCTCTCCCAACTCCACTGGCATTAGACCTACTACGTCATACTAAATCGATATCGACACCAAGGTCAAAACAATTCTAAATCAACACACACCTGAAAAATGGAAAATTTCGCATTGATAAGAATTCCTTGCAGGGAAATTGCCATCTTGAACGATTGGGCCCAGAAAGGGACGACCCCATTTGCACGAGGACCTCAGCGGAACCCACGTGGTATCCTAATCGAGTACTAAATCTTGCTCAGCCCTGGGTGAGGGAGCTCTGTATCAAATATGAGGGGAAGGGATTTACTTTTCGCAGACCGCTTTTCATTGCTCTGGGAACCGCGGATATATTGTATCAACAATCGCCCCCCAATCTCCTAAGTTGGGAACCAGGTTTCTCCCGCAAACGTTCTGGGGACCTATCAAATATGAGGGGGGCTGGTCATTTCCCAAACGCTTCTACTGGCCCGAATTTCAGGCTTACAACCACACACGCACAGAGGCCACCCAGGGGCCAGGCCAGGATCTGGTTCAGGTCCTTTGGCCATGCCACCCGCAGCACGGACCTCAACACGCAGGTGTAGAAGCTGCGTGGGGAGAACCATTTCCGGGCTGTCCGTAACATCTCTGATCCCCTGCTACAAGTTCAACTTCTAGTGGGCCAATGAAATGGAAACCCCCAACCACTCCACCAACTAAAGCCGAAAACAAGACAAAGAACAACAAACACCGGAACAAAAAAGGAACCGGATGGCTAACCGCGACAATATCGGTCATCTGATCCATGGCAAAGGAGTCCCATTGGGACGCAAGTCTGCCTGAGTGGATGAAAGGTCACCGGGTCCCGCGCTTCTTGCCGAAGTCCAGGCTTTTGACGAGGCTCAGGGTTTTGGCCTAGGCACGAGCTTTGGCCTCAAACAAATCCGCACGACACAGGTCCCTGCATTGCTCGTTGAAAGGAAACCTTGAATCGGCCCAGAGGCTTGATGTGTTTGTGCTAAACCCACTAGATATCACGTGGCAGGCTCTCCGCCATCTGGGCCGCCCGGCGTCATACACCCGCACAGTGGCAGCGCCTGCGCAGTCTTGCGAGCACTCGGGGCAAAGCATCCAAATTGAATCAGACATGTGCATGTTTGACATACTGTGGATGGACGAAATCCTGCACCACCAAAGAAACCCTGAATGACGATTCCCCGGTAGTACCAACAAGCAATGGCTTCCCATGGTTTCAAAGTGGTGCGAACGGATTTCGTCCATCCACTTCTTTTTTTGCGTGTCCGCCATCCCTTTGCATTCTAGCGCTCGGCAAATCGCCTCATAAGCCTCTGTGATCTCTTGAAACTTCATGGTTGCCTCCGGACTGTCTTGGTTCTTGTCCGGATGGAAGCGGAGGGCCAGTTGCCGGAAGGACTTCTTCACGGCCGCAGCCTTGGCGCCGGGCCTTAGGTTCAGCACGTGGTAGTACTGCTCCATCTGCTGCGGCGTCGGCTTCGGCTTGCCGGTCTTCTTCTTCGGCTTGATGAAGCCGCTGGAAAAGAAGTAGTTGTATAGGTCCTCAGTTGTTCAGTGACCCAGGAAAAAAAGGAAGCCCTTTTTGGGGAAGACCATTTTTTGTGGGGCAGCCACCAAAAAAAGGGAAAAAGGGTGCCACTGAACAACTGAGGGGCCTGATCCGACCATGTAGTTTCCGCCTCCACCGGTGGCATCTCCCCGCTGTAGCCTGGGAACTGGTCCATGGCTTTCCGCACGCGGGGCCCGCAGTCAGTCTCTTCATCGCTTTCCGGCTCGGGGGGTTTGGGCTTCACATTTCTGGCCTTTGCTGTTGCCTTTGTTTGAGGTCTCGCGGACGCAACTGGCTTTGAGTAGGCATACGGCGAGTTCAGCCGTGTTGCCTCTGGGGCCTGCTTGGCCATGGGTGCACGATATCCCGTGTATGGCCCGAATCCCCAGCCATGAGGCACCTTCGGTGCATTGTGCACCAGCTTTGGGTGCGCAGGCTGTGTGGCCGGCGCCACTGGCGCTGGCACGGGCGCAGGGGGCGGCTTTGGTGCCAGCCTGGGCGTTGCCTCCTGGGCTCGCGCCCGCGGCACTTCCTTCTGCAGGATGGGCCCAGAATGCCCAGCAGGCACCAGCTCAACACCTCAGCCAGTGGATTTTCATGGGAAAAAAACGCATCCTGTTTTGGTTGGTTGAGTTTAAAGGGGAACCCTTGTCTCTCTGTCTCTCTGTCTCTCTCTCTCTCTCTCTCTGTCTCTCTCTCTCTCTCTCTCTCTCTCTCTCTCTCTCTCTCTCTCTCTCTCTCTCTCTCTCTTCCCCCCCAAAAAATAAAAAGGGCGCTGGGCAACAGAGACTCTGAACTCTGCATCGTGCCGAGACTCCTTCACTTCCCTTGGGGAGTCCATGGGCTTCTTCTTCACTCCTTCCGGGATCCGCTTCCACGGACTCATCGCTTGTCTCCTGCACCTTTGCCTTGGCGCTCGCTTCTCCTTCCACACTCTCCTTCCAAATGGCTTCTGCTGCTTGCCTTTCTGCAGGCGATGCATCCATCCGTGGCCTTTCCTCTGCTTTTTGACGTGCTTCCGCACCATGCCGTTCTTCTTCGTGCTCCGCTTCAACCTTGGCTTCTGTCTGCAGCACTTGCTTTGCTTCCTGATGTTCTTCAACAATGCTTTGGCCCGTATGTCCCACCTCTTCTTCTCCCTCCTTGAAAAGGCTTGCTTTAAGCAGCGTGCTGAACTCTTTGCAATCCTGGACTCCGCGCCAGCCATTGATCTGCGGCTCCTTGGCAGGACTCACGTCCAGGCGCCGCATGAGAAGCTCCGCCACCTCTCTGTGCCCCTCACCCTCCGCAAAGCCCAGGGCAGTGATGCCCACGGTGCTCTGCGGGCCGGCGTCGGCGCCGGCCTCCAGCAGCAGCTGGCAAAGCTCCAGGTCTCCGCAGCACGCGGCTTCGATGAGCGGAGGCTCCCCGGAGAAGTCTACAGCATCGGGGTCTGCGCGCGCCTCCAAGAGCTTGCGCACGGGGCGCAGCCATGGCCCTGTCTGCCCCTCAGGCCGCTCCATAGCGGCGCGACATGCCAACATGAGCGGCGTCTCCCCGAGCAGGTTGCGTGCGTCCACCTCCGCGCGGTACTGCAGCAACAACGCCACTGTTGCGAAGACTCGGTCAGAGGGCTGGGTGAGAACCGCCAGGTGCAGGAGGCTCATGCCATCCTCATCCTGTATGGACCAGGCGGCCGAAATCTCCGGCAGGCCCCTGATGAGCTGCCGTGCCCGTGCTGGCTGCGAGCCAAGCACGGCCTGCCGCAGCTGGAGCTTCTGCTGCTCTTCTGGCACGCTGGGCTGTGAGGGGCGCGGCGCCAGCAAAACCAGCAGGGCTTCTCTGCAAGGGTCATCCGGCGGAACGAAGTCTCGAGCCAGCTTGCCAGCTGCGCTCAACCTGGTTGGGTCGGCGTTTGACTCTAAGAGCAGCTGGCACAGCTCAGAGTCTCCGCCGCAAGCCGCCTCCATTAGTGGAGTTTCACCTGTGAGGTCATCTGCTGCATCAGGATCGGCTCTGGCTTCCAGCAACCGACGTACCGGCAAAAGCCTGTCTCTTGGCAACTCCTCATGGGCTGTTGCGAAGGCACAGGCCGTTGCGCGAGCTGCCAAGGTCAGCGGCGACTCGCCCAGGCTGTTGAGGCTGCAAGGATTGGCGCCCTTGCGCAGCAGCAACGACACCATGAGATGACCTCGACCATGGATGTCGTCTGCACCGCCCAGCGAGTCAGCACATTGGTGCAGCAGCGTCTGCCCATCGTCATCCGCATTCAGCAGAGCTTCCGCTTCCGGCCCCTCGAGAAGCCTCTCCGCCTCCTCATGCCGGAGTCCGGCAATTGCTGCACGCAGCACGCCCAGCACCTCCATGGGGCGCAAACTCACGCACCAGCAGCTGCATGGAAGCTTCCACGGCCAGCACAAGCTTCGGAAGCCATGGCGAAGGTTCCCACAAACGGCGCTTGAGACGGCGGCATGGTTTCTGATGCGGCTGAACAACTTGCAGAAAGCAAACGCCAAATGGGGTGGCTTGTTCGGAAATAGCTTGGCCAAGGCAAGCCTGATGGTATCATTTCTTGAGGGTACCCTTTTTGAGAGTTGCCTTTACAGCAAAGACAACTCAACATCTGCCTCCACGCTCCGTTTGCTCAATCCGCCTGGAACAAATCAAAGTGTTTCCAGTGACAGGTTCCCGACTAAAAACCGTGGGCATGGTGTTTATTTATGTTCGAACAATCAATTTCAGCAAATGGAAGTGACTCATCTGCCTGGCCACCGGCCAAGGCAAAAAGAATCGAGTGGGATGTGCACCCGCCCGGCCGCTCGGCCGGGTCCTCGGCCCCGGGCCTAGTGCGCCCTTGGCCAGCGAGGTGCCTGTGACGATGTACCGCCCGTCGGGGGACCTAGCGATCCGGTCTGATGACTTGGGGACTGCTAGGCGGATGCTTGGGCGACCACCCCTTGCCAAAATGTTGCATGGCTTGCCCCTTGGACCTTTTTGCGTGCTTTGTTTTTTAGAAGCCCGGAGAAAAGCTCTAGTTGATAAAACGGGCGAAACACGTGGAACATCAAGCTTTGGACAGTTAGAACAGCAGTTCCCAGAAACCAACAACATTCTGGCGTTGGTGGCCACGCATGTGTCAAAATTGGGCAAAAGTCGAGGGCTCAATGGCAGAGAACACATTGAAAGCCATGTTCAGGTGTTCCCGTGAATCCCACAGCCGAACGTGCACTATGGCATGAGCTGCCCAAGCAACAATTAAAAGAGTCAACTCCTAACATACACTGAGAGTTGGCTCGCCCAGTGCGCGAGCGGGAAACCTGCTGTGACCAACGCAATGCCCAATGCCTACGCCCATGCGCACGCACACACGCACAAACATAGACACAGGCCAGAAGGCCACAGACCCACATGCAAACTATGGAGAAAGCAGATAATTGGCCAGGAGCAAGGCGTGCAGATGCCCGTCTTCTCGTGCGCCGTGCGCAAATCGTCGAAGACCTGCGCAGTATAGACCCAGCTGTCGCCACACCAATTGCGCGTGTAACCAAGCAAAGCGCCAGCATAACGATGTGCCGAAACAAAAGGAACACCAGCTGGCAAGCTTCAAGAAATCACCAATGTGCAAATAAGGTGTTCCCGAAACAAAGTGGGTAAGCCGCTGTACCTCAGCTTGTTTTGCTCTGGCAGCAAAGCGGCATAGCCCTGGGGCCCGCCTTCACCGGGCCCTTGGCATCGTTCAACATGCGGCAGTCCCAGATCTGGCGGCGGGCTGGCTCCGAGTTCTCAGTGCACATCGAAGACATGGCTATGTGGCTGTGGGTCCAAACCAATGGTACCATGTTGGGGTAGCTGCACCACCCATTTCAGTCTATTTTACTGGGGATTGGGATGTTCACTGAGGGTACGGGATTTGGACCCATCGCCATGTACCCTTCGACGCACAATTTGAATTGCAATGCATCCGGTCTCCTTAACGCCGCTCTTTCCTCGACACAAGCAAGACAGGAGACGGGCGCTGCCAAACCTGCACAACTCCCCAGTCCCCCCACCCGCGTGACGGGTGTGCCTTCATGGTGTTGTCCAGGGAGCCTCAGCTGTGATCCGCCGCTCAGCTTGGAGCCATTTGCCCCACTCGGGGCATCTGTCCGACACTGTCCTTTCATCACATGCTCCAAGTCTTCCTACATCCCTCTTTCGACGCCCAACTGGAAGACCCTCCGAGAGGCATAGGCGGGGTAGGTGGGGACCCGAGACGCCTCGAATCGATTCCAAGGTGCGGGTGATGAGCAAATTGCTCTCGACGCCCTCCGGCACGAAGCCGATGTCCGTCACCGCCGCGCTGTGCGAGGTGCGGAGGATCCTGGCGACTGTGCAGGTGCTTGCAGCAATCGGGCCTCACATTCTTGAAGAATTCTCTTTTCGGTGGATGTCCCCGTAGAGAGGTTAGAATAAGATGTTACCAACTGTTTCTTCGGTAGTCTATTTTAGGGGAGCCTCCCCCAAAAAAGGGGTGAGAAAGGGCACTACTGGGGGACCTAAATCTTGAAGAATTCTGAGATCTCCTCAAGGACACCATTTCTTCAATTAACCATGAGCGTCACGATCGCCCCCCAAAATGGTAGGTCTGGAAGGGAGGCAACAAAGCCCCCATGCCTAGCCGTGGGGTTCGTTGTTTGACGTATCTGAACCCCAGCGGCTGGTCTTACAGACTTGCCTTGGACCAACGCTTTTGTTATGGTAGGGGCCCCTGATTCTGATCCAAACAAACGAGCTCCCCGTGCCCTTGAGGAAAAATATGCCGATCCTAGTCCTCATCAAGCCTTGCCAAAAAGAGCGCGCCGAAAACCAATCCAACCAAGCAACATCGAGTGTCGCATCCACCCGTTTTGCCCCTCCCGCCGCGACTGTTGTGCTTTCGTCCGCTCTCTCTTTCTTGGGGCAAGTGAGGGCGCCAGCGTCCAATAGCTCTCGAGCCGCACGCTGCACTGCAGCCGGCGGCAACCTGAAGGAAAGGCTCTGCATAATCCAGCCCCTGAGAACAAGAAGTGCGTGAAACCCCTGATGCTGGGGTTCTTATGTTGGCTGTTTCTAGGTTATCAAAGTCAGAATCAGAAACTGGGGTGGTTTCCCTTTAACCCACCACTTACGGGCCCCTTTCGAGCTGGCTGCCTGGCAGCGGCCGCCGCCTGATCACCCAGCAGCAGGCGCGCGGCCTCTAGCGCGTCACCTTGCACCGACCTGAGGATGAAATCCGTTGCCATGGAAAAAGCAAAATGCCATGGATTTCTGGGTCTGGACATGGCATGCAAACGTGCCAGGTAAATGTACACCCATGCCGGGACATTGTCAAGGACAAGCAAAACTATGGTACAAAGTGGGAACGCAGGGAAACCCAATGCAATGGATTTCACGCCCCAGCTGCTGGCCTTTCGCCAAAATTCTGTTTCTAGAGATGCAGGGAGGCGTCGCCTTGTGAATGTCATGGGAGCAAGGCAGGCAAGTGAATCGCCGTTCTTGGGTCCTTGCCTTGCTCGACATTTCATGTGGAATAAGTCTAACCCATCATTTTGGTGCATGGGTAAAAATGAGCTGGACTTCTGGTTGAATTCAAAGCGTCCAACGCAGTTCCGCTTCAAACCTTGGTTGCTGTTGGCCCCTCTGCCAAAAGTGCTTCACTCTTGGTGGGTTTAATTCGGACAACCCTTGATTTCAGCCAAAAAGTTAAAGTCTCAAGATCCGTTGCCCTCCCACCAATTAACATGGAACCTGACGTTGCGGGGGTCCTGATTTGAATTATCCTTTTAAAGGACCTGCGAACGTCAGGTTCCAGCATCCCCCTGCTCCAACTACCCACCTCTTTACGGCATCAACCCCTCGCAAGGGGAGGTAGTTTCTCTTGGAACACCAGGGCTTGCAGCACACGCCCTTGAAACAAGTGTGTTAACCGCTGGGAGGGTACCCAATCGCAACCGCGTCCCTCGAATCTCTCTTGGCGCCAAATGGCCAGCGCCGGCCGTTCACCCGCAGCACGCCGCCCCGAAGCAAAGCTGCCACCGGCCGAGGGCGAAGCCTCTGAGTCTCCCTGGGGCCCTCACCCTGCCCCGTGTGTTCATAGATCTAAAAATGGTAATGATAGTGGTAATCATGCTTCATGCGTATGTAGATATTTACATACAGAGATACAATGTATACCAGAATCCATATGTAATGCCTGTATCTTTAATGTGTATATGCCTTCGTGATATATATGCTTTCAAAGAATATATAATGCAAACAGCACTCACTATTTTACCATGTGTCTTGAGACAAAATGGCCCGTCCATGTCAACGCCCCTCCTTCAACGTAGGCGTCGTTTCACTTGCCGGCGTTGACTCAGGATTCCAGATTCTTGGCAACTCTGGCCTTTCCGATTACGAACTCTTGGCTAAGTGTCTTCATGTGTTTTTAACATGTGTCTCTGCCAACCGGTTTGGTACACAAATCAGCAACATTGTGTTTCGTGTTGGTTGAAACAATCTTCCAAGCATTGGAACCATCTCTTTCTTGGATCCAATGGTATCTAGTCTGTACATCTTTCCTAACCCTTCAACTCGCTGTTCCTCTAAAAGCGGACGAATCGCTCAGGACTACCAGATCATAGGCTCCGCCCCAATCTGCTAACAGTGACTGGATGCTTAAACCTATTGCACATGCACGTACTAGGGCATAGTACTCGGATCTCCAGTGCTGAGCGCAATGGTTGATTCTAAATTTGATCCGGGCATTACAAATGCTGCCAGAGGTTTTGCAGCAAAGTTGCAGCAATGAATCTGGTGGAGAAGACTGGCATCGACATGTTTATTTGGTTAGTGGGCGAGCGAGTATGGGAAGCGTCTACCCGCCGGAACTCGCGAAGGCGATTCTCAAGGAATCAAGAAGCAGATGGCGAAGGGCGGCGAGCGCAAACATATCCATTCGCTAGACGCAGGACCAAGTCCAGACGGAATGTGACTTCGATGGGCACACCGAACGACCGCGACAAGAACGAAGATGACCAGATCTTCTACGATGATATAACAGGAGCTCAATTGGATACAAAATGAGGTTTTGCAGCAAGAAAGGAGGAGCTGGATTGGCTAAGGCCGATGAGAAAAGGACGCTTGAGGGGTGTTGGCAGGAAACCGGAAAAGCTCCAACAAGCCAAGCGGATTGACAGGAACAAAGGAGACAGTGAGAGAAAGAACTACAGATCGAGGATTGTGGTTCGAGAAGTGAAGAAGTAGCATGGAGCGCTACCTGGACACAAGCTTTTGAGCAATATGACACCGTTCAAGGCGCTGAAGATTTTGTGTTCGGGCCTTGCTACGAAGAAGGGCAGCAGAAATGGTAAACCCATGGGGCTGGCGTGCGTGACATCAGCCCCGCCATGGACAGGTCCACGCAACACTAACTTCTGATCTTGCTGAAGAGGATGTGTGGCACACAAGGTGCTGCAAATGTTAATCACGGCCATGAGCAGGGTAAGGCTCACAAGGACTATGATGCCAAGCTTTTTGTTCATGGTGATGACTTCTTCGTTTTGGGCGATGATGCTAATGGAACCAATCAAGACGACCAACCAACGGTGACGTATGAGGCAGACCCGAGCACGGTGAGATGATCATTCGTCAACTTGGGTTGGAAGGTGCAAAAGCTATGGCCACCCCTTCGGAAAAGAAGAAGGCATCAAATCCATTAGCAGAAACTGGTTTGCCGACTCTACCCCCAGAACTAGTCACATTTTTCAGATCACTGACCATGCGAGCCCAAGTTCTTGCACAAGGAGGCATGCATGAATAGACCGAAGCGGTTAGGACGGTATCTTCTTGGGAAGCCTATAGAGTTGTGAATGTTTTCCATCCCCAGCGAAGAGGGAACGTTCTGCGAATCTTTTGTGATTCAGACCACGCCGGCTGTGTCGTTACCCGAAAGAGCACGACCAGCTATGCAGGCTGCTTAGGCTAGAACAGGACTGGTTGCGTCTTGTCGGCTTCTTAACAAATCCATCTCCAAGCGCATCTCGTCCCATCATCTTCCATCTGCACATGGGTCATTCAACAATCATCACTCCGGGAGAATTCTCAACCTCCTTCATGCAGTCTTCTTTGAAGTTGCCTTCTTCGGGTGTTCATGAAGAAAGTACCGTTTCTGTCGACATGCTTCTTGTAGAACTCGATATTTGCACGACCTTCTTCAAGTCTTCATCCTAGTCGCCTCATCCTGAGCAGCCTCCTGAACCTCTTCTTTGCCAGCTTGCGGGTCTCTTCATGTAGGCCAATATCGGGTATCTCTGGATCGGAACCATTGCGGGATCTACCTCAAGTGCACCTAACTCGAGCTGGATTGTTTCTGCTTCCGGTTCTGCTGATGTCGCTATTGCATATTCGAATTCCTCCATGTTGTTGATGCCTTCTTGCCGTTTCCTTGGGGATTCAAGTGGCAATCCCTCTGGCAATGTCCGGGCAGTCCGCAGTTCGCGGAACGCCCATTTGAGCCGGAACCTTTCGATCCTTTGCCATGTCCAGTGTATCCCTCACTTGGACCTCCGAAACCTTTTCGCTTTGACTTGCCTTTATCGTTGCCCTTGTTCTTTCCTTTGGAAGTGCCTTTCTTGCCTTTACCTTTGCCCTTGCCGAGTGCGCCGATGTCCATGTCGTCTTCCTCTCTGGTTTTGCCGTTCAGTGGCTCTATATCTTCATCTTCACGCCCACGCGCGTCTCCAGGTACGCACTCAACTCTGCGCGCATGTCCTCGAGGTCGTGAAACCTAGAGCGATTGAGCTGAAGATGTCGTTCAATTTCCGGGGGGCGCATTGATTCTAAGATGAGCATCTTTATATCGCTCGGGATCTTCTGTCTGTTTCGGCTTGCATCTTTCCTACGCTCATAGCGTTGACCAGTTCTTGCCATCCTTTAACTCTTTCCCGCAACCCATCGAGTTTGCATTTTCCAGGACTATGAATGTGTCTAAGTAGTGCTGATGTCTTGGTGCCAGTAGACAATTTGTACCGTTTCACGAGTCTTCGCAATCCTTCAAAACAATTTCCTGTCTGTGTTTCTTCGTCTGTCAAACTATCCACCTCTCCGACCGATACTCGGGCTAATGACATGTTACTTGCGACAGTTGAGGAGTGGGTGTTTTGCCGTTACCGGGCCTGATTCTTTGCGACAGCTAGGCGGGTTGTTTGCATCAGTCTTCTGGGTTTTCTGCACTGGTAGGGTTCTCTGCAATGGACAAGTGGGTTTTTCGCAACAGCTGTCGCAATTTACTCGTGTTTCCAGAGGGTAGGCCACAAGCGAGTTTTTTTGCAACGCCGGAGGTTTGTTTGCAACTCGTGGTTGGGCCAAACTCGTGGTTCGATTCCTCCCTGGTACCGTGGCTGAAAAACAGAAAACGTGAACTGTTCAACCAGAAGCGCCGACGAGAAGTGAGCAAAGCGCCAGCGACTGTGGAGTCGAGTACCCCTGCAAGAGTCGGACTGCAAACTAATCATAGAACAAAGGAACACACACGTACATTTCACGTTTATGATGAAGAGCTTGCGCGGAAACTTTCAGGCTATAAATGGAACAAGTCTGACCATGGGTGAAACATGGTGAAACGCTCTGTGCGAATCTCTCACTTCGACCTGCAAACAGCAAAGCGTGAAGCTCAAGTCAAGCATCTTGCGGCAGCAACACAACGATACGAGGCTAAAGGCATAAGCTTGCACACTTACTATTTAGGATGCTGCTAGCAGTCTGGACATGCGTGTTCAAATCGCACCTGCGTGTAGCAGTGCCAAGGCGACGTCGTTTGCGTGGCGGCTCAGCAGCACTTTTCAGTCGACCTGCGTGGCGCTTATGCCGTGGTATTTCGTCAAGTACCAACTCTGCAGGCCGCCCAGCCAGTGCGAGGCTCTTGCAAGAGGATATGTGTTCACACTGTGTGTGCGCCTCGTCGGTCGCAGCGAACGTACGAAACGGAGTCGAAGAAGTGTTGCTGGGTATCCAGCAGCCCAGCTCGTTTGATCAAGCAACGAAGTGACTGCTGGTTGAGAGGCAGATCCTGCGCTATTGCCGCCATTGCGATCAGGTTGCGCTGCCTTTAGCGTGGTCTACGAAAACATCTTGAGGTGTCACACGGACACGCAAGGCAGCGCCGTTGATCAAGGCTGCATCTTGCGTAGCGGGTGTAAAGGACAAAGTATCCGAGCCGCCCCTTTCAAACGATGCCGTCCAACGTCTGGAGTACAAAGCTTGCACGCACTGCAAAACTTGCGGCACATCTCAGTCTCTTTTGCCACACAAACTTTCCAGCTCACGCTGCCAAGAAGCATGTAGTGCCTCGGCGGGCTCGCTGCCGCTGCCGGACCCAGCAACAATGGAGCCATGTTTGTCGCGCAAAGAGCTGCTCATAGCCTGGCAGCCAATCTTTCAAGGCGATCTCTGCGCGACGCTGCAGAGTGTCCAAAAACTTGTGCCACGAAAGCTGGGCAGCCGGCGCAGCAAGGCAATCATCTCCTGAGTGTAAAACGCCTTCGTTTTGATGCACCGCCCTTTGTGAAAATGAACGTGGCGACACTTTGAAGGACGTATGGTATGCTTTTTCTGACTGAAATAAAAGCAATCATCACATCTTCGAGGAGGGAAACACCTCGCTTTGAGCTTCCTCGAAAAGCAGCTTGAAAGTCTTTGTGAAGCTGAATTTGCTGTTCCTGCAAAGGCTTGCCATTAGGCCGGGCGTCTCTCCAAATCTTGCAGAGACAATGGAACAATCGAATGCAATCCTGCACGGACTCCGGGTGAAAAATCGCCTGCAGCAAAGCTTGGGACGTCCAAGCCCTCGCCTGTGCGCGAACACCTACGCGCAGGTCAAGCGGGTCGGCCGCAGCCTGTCTTCGACCAAAAGGATGACAGTGGCCACATCGTACTTCTTCGAAGCTACTTTCTTGCTGCCGTCGACTACCAGGCACACTTGACCAGAGTCATACCTGGACTTGGTGTCGAGCATTTCCTTGACGGAGTGATAGTGGATCAGATTTTCGTCCTCCCCCTTCCCAAACGTACCGC